GGACGCAGGGGCTGAGCTCTCCGAGGTCCCAGTGCCAATGTCCTGCCGGCTGCCCCGGGGCCCAGCTGCAGCGCTGCTCGCTCTCCTGTGCCTGGGGCTTCTGTCTCTCCTGTTCCACCCTAGCCTTTCTCCCTGGGGGGAGCAGGAGTCCCCCGGGCTGAGAGCTCCGAGGCCCAAAGCCCGTGGGCTGCTGCTTCAAGACGTCTTCATCGCGGTCAAGACCACCAGGGCTTTCCACCGTTCCCGTCTGGACCTGCTACTGGACACGTGGGTCTCCAGGACCAAGCAACAGGTGACAAATGGGCGACTTTGGGCCTTGAGAGTGGTACCTGGCTGAGGGGCTCACAGAACTCTTTCTGCTGGGCTGGGGTCCCCAGCAGCCTCAAGGGAAAAGCTGCCCACTGCCCTCCGGGTCTGGCTCATCTCTGTCCTCCTCCCTCCTCCCCTACCCACACCCCACACTCACTGGATTCTGGGTGCTCCTCAGGTCCATTCCCCCCTCTGTTGGGGGAAGCCTGGGTCCCTTGCCCAGGCTCCTGGGGGTCCTGCCATTCCCTGGCTGCACCATCAGGGGCTTTGTTCCTGCCCAGGCTCACCTGGCCTTGGGGGCAATGGTGGGTTTGAGGAGCTGGGGTGGAGGCCTCTGAGAGGTCCTGACTTGTGCTGGCCCAGGAGCTGTCTCGCCCTGGTTCTGAATGGTGGAGTCCCTGCCCCACATTGCTGGGCCCTGCTGGCGTTTTGCCTCCTGTGCTGGTTTCCTGTGGCTGCTGCCCTGAAGGGGGTGTGTGTCTGGAGGAGGAAGCTGAGGCCTGGGTGGGGGCCTGCCTGGCGAGTGGGCTCGTGTGTGTGTTTGTGTGTGTGTGTGTGTGTGTGTGTGTGTGCATCCACGTGCTCACACGCATGGAGCCTGAGTGTGTGAGCCATGCAATGGCGAGAGGTGTGGGGATGCCATGCGAAGGTGGCTCCTGCCTTGAAGTTGTGGTGAATCTCCGAGTCTCCGTCTGAATCTCCTTCAGTCCTCCCCTCCCTGCGCTCAGTACCCACCTCAAGCAAAGCTGGGGTTCTAGCGGTACTAGGGAGTGTCTCTGGGGAGGTGGAGGGTACTCACACATACACACACGTCCTCAGAGTGGCTGCTGGCTCTGGGGAGGAAATGACCGAGCCCTTGGAGGGGAGCCCGAGGAGAGAGGGCCAGGGAGGTTTGGATGAGGCTGAGCTCCCTAGGCAGGGCACACCCCTGTCCATGGGTGCAGATGCCGGGTGCCCCTGAGGTGGATCCTTTCTCAGCACCCTGCTCTCCCTGTGCCTCACACTGTACTTCTCATCTGGGGAGATCCTGGCTCTGAGGGCAGGCGGGCGGGCGGAAGCCGCCAGCGCTGGCCCTCCCCGCAGACCTTCCTGTTTATGGCACTGTCTGTGTACCCGGGAGCGTGGCCTCACGTGGCCCAAGGCTCTTTCCTGTCGTGTCTTGCTTGCCACCATGGTGCCCTGGCCCCAGATGAGGGAACTGAGTCTGGGGAGGAGGAAGTACATGCCTGTGTCACCCAGAAGGCCTCTGCCCAGTGGGATGCAGCTGGGTCTCTTTCTCCTCTGCAGGGCTCCAAGAGCCCAGAGCTGCCTGGGCTGTGCAGCTGCAGGAGCGGCTCCTTGGGCCTTCCCGTGGGGGGGCTGTGCCTGGCAGCACCAGGCTGGCCTAAGAAGGGAGCAGCGACTCCTGTGTTCCAGAGGCAGGAGATGGATTCACTGCTCTGGACTCCAGAGAGAGGGCAGAGTCTAGAGACCCTGTCCCTTTAGCTGAAAGAAGGAAGGATGGTCAGTGGAGGAGGAAGCTGGGGGCAGAGGGGCCATTCCCGCCACCCAGCATCTCTCACCTTTTGGCTCATTTTTCTCTGTGACCTTGGCCCAGGACCTCCTGCTTCTGACCCTCTGTTTCCCTGTCTGCACAGGACAGGAGCTTCCGGGATGGGCCTGAGCTGGTTAACTGCAGTGCAGGGCCCTGGTTGGTTAGAGGTGGTGTGGTGGCAGGTGGGCCTTTGTGTCAGCAGGCTGGGACTCGTGTGCGCCTTTGTCCCAGAGGGCCTGAGGCGGGGAGTGGGCCTGGGGAGGCGTGTTCTGTGTATTTTGTGCTGGAGAGAAGCCTTTCTCTTCCTCCAGCCCCCTGTGGTCCTCAGGGGCGGCAGGGGTGGGGGGCAGTAGCTGGGCAGGGGCATCTCTCCTCCTCTGTGGCAGATGGTCCCAGCCACTCCCTCCCCTCCCTGGCCCAGCAGGCTGCTGGTCCCTTTGTTTTCCAGTCTGTGAAGTTTTAACCATTGTCAGGGTCCCCTCCTTAAACAAATCAAATGCAGCCCTTGGCTTAGGAAATTCTGCCCATCACTCTGCACCAGCCCCAGGGTTCCCAGGGTTCCCAGGGAGCAGGACAAGAGCAGCCCGACTTTTCTGACAGGCTCCCTCCAGGGTGGTGCTCAAAGTGGACTTGGGTGGGGGCAGGAGGCCAGGCTGGAGCAGGGCTGGCCTTGGAGGGTGGTGGGTAGATATTTGAAGGGTGGGTGAGTAGACAGACCACAGGTGAGGGAAAGAGAGGAGGCTCAGTCTCCAAGGCTCTGGGCCCCAGCAGATGTCAAGGAGGAAGCATAGCTGTGTCTTCTGCAATTTTTTTTCTTTGCTCGGGATGGAACTCAGGGCTTTGATTATGCTGGGCATGTGCTCTACCACTGAGCCACACCTCTGGCCCTTTTAAAAACACTTTTTTGTTTTTATTTATTTATTTATTTATTTTTTGAGAAAGGGTCCCACTGTGTGGTTCAGCATGGCCTTGAACTAACTGTGGAGCCCAAACTGGCCTTGAAATTGCAGTGATCCTTCTGCCTCAGCCCCCTGAGGCCCTTCTTTCAAGGAGGGGCTCAGTGTTCAGGTGAAGCCCTTCAGGGAGGAGTCCCAGCTGTAGGGCATTTGACAACTTGGGGCTGAGGCAGTGGCCAGGGCTGGAGGTGCACATGGGAGAGTTCCCTGCCTCCTGGTAATGGCACTGCTGGGAACTGGGTGGGATGGAGAGGCCCTGGACCTGGGCTTGGGTTGCCCACTCTCACAGGAAATCAGAGCCTCCAGCTTAGCTAAGTCTAAGGTAGAGGTGGAGGCAGAACCCAGGGGGAAGGGCTTGGAAGGTGGCTGCTTCCCAGGACTCTCTGGGAGGTTCCAGGTGCCAGGACCATGAGACAAATCAGATTAGGGCTGTGGTCTCCAGAATGGGATCTTCCAGTGGGAGGGACCAAGACAGAAATTTCCATTACTGTGAAGTTGGGGTTGCCATAGAAGGATGGGGTTGGGGCTGAGAGAGAGGCCCCTAGAGAGGCTGGAGGGCATTAGGAAAGGCTTCCTGGGGGAAGTGACACCTGAGTTGGGGGCTCAAGGGTGGGAAGAGGGTATAGCGTGTGCAAAGAGTCGTGTATGTGTGTGTGTGTGTGTGTGTGTGTGTGTGTGTGTGTGTGTGCAGGTAAGATGTTTGGGGAACTGAAAGAAATTTGGGCAAAGAGAAGCCTGAAGGTTGAGACAGGAAGCTCTGAGATAAGACTGCATCAAGTGGCAAGGTGCAGGGGTCAGGTTCCCTTCACTGGTTACACTTTGCAGGCTGGCCTTTACTCCAGGGGGAGTAGGGAACCATGGAAGGTGTTAGCAGGGGGTGGTGGGCATGGGCATTATCTGATTCTGGGAGGAAAACAGATCTAAGGAAGTGAGGCAGTCTTGCAGCAATCCACCGAGAGATGGCTGGGCTGAGGAGCAGGTGCATGGCCCTGGGCCTTGGGACTCAGATCTGATTCTATCCTGTTTCCTCTTGTGCCCAATCCTGGCTTCTGTACTTCAGTGCCTGTTTCTCCTGAGATACAAGAAGCAGAGCCTGGCTTCACTGTCCACGGTGCCTCCTTCTTTTGTACACCATCTCTCACAGCTGTTATAGCTGGGTAAACTGAGGTGGGGTTGTTCTGATCAGAAGGACCAGTTCCTAGAAGAGGTGAGCAAGGAGGAGTATTTGTATCCAGAGGCCCTGGGCTTGGAGGGAGGACAGGGTAAGGAGTGGGAGATGGGAATGTAGGGCTTTAGGTATTTCTCCTTGGGACATTTTTTTCCTCTTTTGTCCTCACTTAGGAGTTGAGAATTGTGCCATGTGCTGGGCAGGGCAGCCCAAGGGCTGGGGAGGTCTGGAAGGCACTCAGGGGATGAAAGGACCTGCCAGGGAGCTGAGAGGTTCTGCAGGGGCTGGGCAGGGCCTGGGATGGGCGCGAATGTCCCTGCTGGGCAGGTGTTTCTGCCTCTCCTTCTGTGTCTGCATCTGGTTCATTTACGGTTGAGTAGCTTCAGCCCACCTGGAGGAGGCAAGAATAAACCCAAGGTTTACAGGTTAGAATCCTAGCTCAGGCGCTGGCCAGCCTGGGTTCTTTGCATAGCCAGTTTTGTCTTCTGGGAAAGGGACAGATCCTAATGCCTGCCTGCTACAGTCTAGAGAGAATTGCTTGGGAGCAGGCCTGGGTTCCAGTCCTGGTGGGCGCCTGTCCAATGGGGAGAAGTAGATCAGGCCATGGTGCGCAGTCTCTGTCCTTGTATAGGGGTTTGTGACTGTGAAAGTATCACTGTCCCCTAAATGGCTGGGCTCTCAGGGGGTGGGGGTGGGGTCCTTTCATAGACTCTGTGTCCTGACAGAGAGCTGAGGGTTGTGTTTATGTGACCACAGAGTGGCTAAGTATGACTGTGACGTAAGCGTGATGGAAGGGGGTGTGATTCTGCCAAGGTGTGTGGCCCTGCAAAGGGGATGCTGTGTGTGCGTGTGCGTGTGTGTGTGTGTGTGTGTGTGTGTATGGTCTGAAAGCAGCGAATGACCATGAGGGTATACCTGTCCCCAGGGAGGACAGCAGGCTGCTGTGTCTGTACCCACCTGGGCAGTGGGCTATGGACTGGCCTGGGGCTGCCCTTGAGACTGATCCTGACCTCCCTGTCCTTCCCAGACATTTGTCTTCACCGACAGCTGGGACAGAGGCCTCCAGGAGAGACTGGGTAACTGCTTGCCTGGGTTAGGAGGGGTTGAGGCGTGGCCGGTGCCGGGTGGCTGTGCTGTGGCCTGGAGCTTCCCAGGAATCAGGGTGCCCTTCTGACCCTGGGGACTCCCCTCTGTCCAGGGTGGCGGGGGTGGGGGTGGCTGTTGTAAGAGGGCCCGGACACCTGGGTCCTGGCCCCAATCTTGGGCAGCACAGCTCGCCCAGGGCCTCAGTTTCCCCAGTGTAATCTAGGAGTGTGGCCCTTCCGGGCTCTTTGAGGCTGGGCAGTGGGGAGGAGCTGGGTAGGGTTCCCCTGACTCCTCACTTTTCCAGGGTCCCACCTTGTGGTCACCAACTGCTCCGCAGAACACAGCCACCCGGCTCTGTCCTGCAAGACGGCCGCTGAGTTTGACGCCTTCCTGGCCAGCAGGCTCAGGTGCGCGCTCCTGGGTTCTCGGAAAGGGCGGCCCTTGGCTCAGCCGCAGACAGTCCTCACCTGCTAAGCGGGTGCACCTTCCTCACAGAGCTTGCCCAGGGTGCTGCCTGGCAAAAACAGGGGCCTTAAACGCGAGCCGCCCTCCCCTCCCCTGGAACTGACTGTTGACTGACGGTAGGGACCCCGGAGGCCCTGGCCCCCTCGAGTTCTCTGTCACTCTTCAAACCCCGTAGATGGTTCTGCCACGTGGACGACGACAACTACGTGAACCCGAGGGCACTGCTGCAGCTGCTGAAGGCCTTGCCCCAGGGCCGTGACGTCTACGTGGGCAAGCCCAGCCTGAACCGGCCCATCCACACCTCCGAGCCGCGGCCTCACAACCGTACGGTGTGTCCTTCCCTTCCTCCACGCCCATTGGCCCTCGGTGGGGCGGCGGGGCGTGGCGAACAGGAGGGGCGGGGTCTGAGTTTCACATCTGCTCCCATCTCTGTGGGTTTAGGCCAGTGGCTTTGAGCCTCAGTCTTGTGTGTGAAATGGGGAGATTGAAATAATGCAGACGAGTTCTCAGGAACCCCAGAGCAGTGGCTTTTCGGGGTCATACGACCAGAGGCTTCCCGATTGCAAGGTGGGGGGCTCCCGGGCACCGGGTGCCACTGTGCTTTTGTGCAGATTGTTAAAATCCTGGAATAGGGCTGGAGCCGGTAAACTGTTGCTGCTCTGCACCCCAGAACACTCCCCTCCCTTGGGCATCCCCTTCCGGGTCCTCCCTATCCGGTAACCGAGAGTGGACCCCCGATTGAACAGGGGCCCCCAAACCACCTTTCAACTCTATACTGGATGGACACTGGTCAGAGTTGCCAGATTTAGAAAACAAACAAAAAGCCAGAAACCCAGTTACTTTTGACTTTTAGATGAACAGTGAAGGGTCTCTTAGTATATAAACATGTCCCCAAAGTGACGTGATTGTCTCCTGTCCCCAGGTCCCACTGGGCTTCAGGAGTTGGGTGGCCCCAACTGCTAGGGCTCTCTTGGCCCCAGAGAAAAGGCAGGTAGGAGGTCCCCCATCTGCATGCAGGGCCTGGAGCAGGAGCTGGGGCGCTGTGGGGTGCTGTCCCTCTCAGGATCACCATCTGCTTCATTAGGGAAGCCCAAGTCTTAATTATCAGCATCTCTTCAGCTTCTGAGCCTAATTAAATCCTCCTGGGCCCTGGGGTGGTAGTGGTGTGTGGGCCATTCCCGGGGAGCCCAGGGGTTTCCGGAGCACACACATTGCACCCCTGGCCCTTTCACTTGGCTGAGCTGTTTGCCTTCTGGGCTGACAACACTGGGAGCCCGATTCCCTGCATCCACACAGCAGCCCTGCTGCCTCCTGATTTGGTGACCTCTACGGGTCACTTAACCCTTCTGTGCCTCAGTTTCCTCGTCTGTGACAACAGCTCCTCCTCACAGGGTGGTTGTGAGCCCAGAAGAACTCAATGAGCCATCTCCAAAAGTCCTTGCAACAGGACTGAGTATGTCACGGACACTTGTAGGGGTCAGCAATCAGTGCAGACAGCTCAGCCTTCACTTCTGAGCCACGTTTTTCCTGGGCAGGTTCAGTACCTGTCTGGGCACTTGCAGGCCCAGTCCCTGACAATTGTGTGATGCCCTTATTCACTTACATCCCAAAGTGGGGTCCCAGAACTCTGCAGGAGTGTGGCAGAGCCCCAAAGTGTCTCAGCCTGTGCAGATCCTGGAGTTCCCCAGGGCGGGGCAGAAAGACGCGAGTAAGCACTGTGGTGTAGGGTCAGGTCCAGATCTGGCACCTCGGGCTAGTGACCTCACTTTTCTGTGCCTTGGTCACCTCGCCTGGGGCACAGCCCTTAGCACAGGACAAGGCACTTAACATTGCTACTGCTGTTCTTGTTACTGTAATTATCTGGAAGCAGAAGCCACACACAGTCGTTCATTTTTTTAAAAAAGACAAGCATTTCTTGGGGACTCCCATGCCAGGTCCTTAGGAGCCGTTGTTGACTCTGACCTTTCTCAGAAGGGCAGCTTTTCGAGAAGTAGACTAATCAGTCTGTCAGAGGAGGGGACCTCAGGGCCAGGAGAAGCACTGGCTCTAGGAACTGGAGTAGTTGTGCTCCTGGTGACAGCTTCCCAGAGAGGGGACTGGCATTCTCGTGGTCACAGAGTTGTGCAGGGAGGAAGCTCAGGCTTCCCCATCACCTGCCCAGGGCTCTGCTCACTGCTCCCCCGTGTGTCTGTCAAATGCCACTGTGCACTTGGGAAGGGCAACCTCAGGGAACTTGTTAGACCCAGAGATGGTGCAGCTGAAGGGGAAAGCGTTTCCCAGGTGAATGTGAGGTTCTCACAGAGGAGAGGGGAGAAAGCCTCGGGCTGAGGTGATGGTGAACGGTAATGGGGGACAGAAAGTGGTTTAAACCTAAAGGGGTCTTATTGGTTCCTGAGATTGTGCTGTCCTGGGGTTTGTGGGCTGCAGGGGTCCCAAGACTGTCCGATACTCCATGAGAGGCCTCATCCTGTTTTATTTTTTTTTAATTTGCAAAAAACCTTTCTTAGTCCCAAGAGTTGGGAGTGGCAGTGGTTTGGTGAAGATGACCTCAAGACTATAGCTCCACCTATAGGTGACCCCATAGAAAGCATTTTTTTTCTTGTAAGGGCTGCGCTCTGGGAAGGGCTCTGATTGGCTTGTCCAAGTCATGTGCCTATTGCTGAGCCAATCACTAGGTCAAGGGCTGTGGCCTGGTGCTCCATTTTTCGTTTGTGTGTTTGTTTGTTTTGAGATAGGGTCTCACTTTGTAGTTGAGACTGACCTGGAACTCACTATGTAGCCCAGGCTGGTCTTGAACTCACCGCGATCCTCCTGCCTCAGCCTCCCCAGTGCTGGGATTACAGGCGTGCTCCACCACCCCCGGCTTCCAGTGGGATCCTGCCTTCCCCTGTGGCCCAGGGAAGCAAGTAGGTGCTTGGCAGCCCCCCCTCCAGGCCCATGCAATGTTTCTCAGGGGAAGAGGCAAGATGCACTGGGCGGATAAGCTACCACACATCCCACTGAACCAGAATCCAGCTGGATTTGGATCAGCGATCTCCTCACTCATAATTAGCTATGTGACTTTGGGCCCAGCTTCCTTATTTGTAAATGGGCATAATAATGCCAGGCTGCAGCAAGTCTCTTGTGACTGTGAAATAAAGATCCTTTGAGCCATGCTTGGGAGTGAAGGTGCCTGGCCATCCCTGGCCCAGACTCACCCCACACCTTGGTCCTTCGCTTTCCAGAGGCTGGTACAGTTCTGGTTTGCCACAGGGGGCGCCGGCTTCTGCATCAACCGCAAACTGGCTTTGAAGATGGCTCCATGGGCCAGGTAATGCTCCACTCAGGGGTGGGGAGGGCTTCCGCCAAGGCAGTGCCACAGGGAAGGGAAGGCTACGTGTAGGGGCTCTCAGAGGAGGGAGAAGGGCATTTTGGTTGGGGACAGGGTTCTGGGAAGAGGTGGCATTAAACCTGGGACAGCCCTAGAGAACCCCCGAGGAAGGGTATCTAGGGGTCGTGGAAACCTCAGTGCGGAGGTGGAGGACCCTGGCATTCTGAAGGGGCCTGGCCTCTTGGTTTCCCAGGCAGGCTGTTCGCAACATCTGGGGCCATGAACTTGTAATGAGGCCTATTCTAAGCTGGCCTGGGCTTCACAGAGAACATTGCGACATCTGGGGGAGAAGGTGGGGTTATCTAGTTTCTACAGCTGAGGAAACTGAGGCACTGAGGGATTAAGCAAGCCTGAGGTCACCAGGTTTGAGGTCACCAGCTGCTCAGTTTGGGCCTGAGGCTGTATGCTTTGGCCCTATAGCAGCCTGCACTGCTTTCCCCTGGACAGGAAGGGTCCCCCTTGGCCATACTTGTTGCAGGCATGAACACGTGACTGGGGTCATCCCTGTGCCTAGGTGCCCCGCCCTGGCTTCTGCCCACCTCTGGGGCACTTTGCGTGAGTTAGTGGGTACAGCGTTAATGGGCATGTGTGTGCGTGTGTGTGTCTGTGTGTGCACTCGTGGTCCCTGATGCTTCCCTGGGGCACAGCTTCTCCCCTTCTGCAGCACCGCAGACTCCAGCTCCTCCTGTACAACCTCTTCTAAAAGCTGTCACCTCCTCCGGGAAGACCGTGCCCGGCTCTCCCTACGTCCCCCGCACGACATGCTTCCTTCTCAGTGCCAGTCCTGCCCTAAACGGCCTTGTCTGTGTCCCTCCAGAGTGGGGGCTGCCATGGAGGGCAGCGAGTGCTTCTTTCTCATCTCTGCGTCCTCAGCCCTAGCATGGTATCCTGGGGCAGTAGAGTCTCAGGCCTGACAAAGAACACACGAGCGAGGAAATATATGAAAGGAGCAAGAAAAGGAAGGATACATTTATGAAGGCCTTCACCCACCCAACCTCCAGAGACTCCTCCCAACAGCCCCGAGAAGCCAGGCGCCCTATCACTCCCATTTCCCAGAACAGGAGACTGAGGCTCCCTGAGGTTTCTGACTTGAGTGAGTCATGCAGTGGACAGAGACCGCTGCTTGAGCTGAGGGCCAGCAGGGGCCTCCTGGGGGGTGGGGACCCTGGCTGCGGGGGCCATGTCCGCAGCTGCAGCCCAGCTCTGTCCCTCAGTGGCCCCCGCTTTGTGGACACATCTGCTCTCATCCGGCTGCCCGACGACTGCACTGTGGGCTACATTGTGGAGTGCAAGCTGGGGGGACGCCTGCAGCCCAGCCCCCTCTTCCACTCACACCTGGAGACCCTGCAGCTGCTGGGGGCTGCTCAGCTCCTGGAGCAGGTGAGCCAGCCCCGGGGCAGGTGGCAGTGGTTGGGGAGGAAGTGTTCCCCTGAAGGGACAGGAGGGACTCGAGATTAAGGGGTATGGCCATCCCTTACTGATGGGGCAACCGAGGACCTGCATAATGGCACAGCCCTCTCTACCTCTAATCGCAAGGGTTTGTGTCTGTGATGCTGCAGGTCTCCGATCTGGTCCCCAGGTGCCAGCTGGGAGGACCCACACAGATGGGATGGGGTCGCCCTCACGTCCCACCACCCGCTCCTTCCCTCTGTCCCTCCCTCTGCACACGCCCCTCTTGCCCAGCCAGGCTGGCCCTTTCTGACTTTGCCCATCGGGAGCCCCTTCCGGCGTCACCACTTTCCTCCCAGTTGTTTCCTTGCTTTTCCTGCTAACCCCAAGGGTACTGGGAAGGATCAGGTTCCCATCCCTCCGGGCAGGGAGTGACTGCACCCGCTGCAGACCTACCATGCAGCCCCACGGGCAGTCTGGCTGCGAGGGCCACAGTGTGGTCAGGCCCTTCGGGGTGCAAGACACAGAAACTCAACACGGGCCGGTTCAAATAAGTCAGCAAATCAGTGTGAGCTGAGAGCCGAGGGCCTGACTCTCGACGTCTGGCTGGGTCCAGGCATTTAGGATTCTGTGTCCTCTCCCATCTGCTGTCCCAGATGCTGGCCTCATCCTTGGACAGGCTCACCCCTCTGCTGGCAGGATGGCAGCCCCAGTGTGCCCCCACCTCCTGTGGGGACAGAGCTCTGCCTCCCCAGACTGCAGCACCTGGCAGGAGTGTTGGTTGGCCAGGTCTGCAACTGGGGTGTGGGGGCGGTGTGATGATCCCATGGGAATTGCAGAGTCTCAAGCCAGGGAAGGGGGGTGGATTTTGGGCAGCTGAGAGCAGGGCATAGTGGTTGGGGTCTTAGCTTTAGCTCTGGCTCCTCATGATCTTTACACATGGAATCCGCGGGACTGGCCCCAGGACCTCCTCGGATTCCTAGACCCTGGGATGCTCAACCCCGTGTATAAAATGCTGTTGTGTTTGCACATAACCTACACAGTCCTCCCATATGCTTTAAATCATCTCTTATTACTTGTGGTACCTAACAGGATGTAAACGTACGTGTAAGTTCTACTACATCGTTTAGGGAACGAGAAGAAAAGAATCTGTACGTATTCAACACAGTTGCAAGTTTGGACTGTCGTTGTCTTTTCCTGCCCCTGGGGCTCATGCAAGCTAGGCAATGATCTGCCGCTGAGCCTTTTTAAAGTTTTGTTTCAAGACGGGGTCTTCCTGTGTTGTCTAGGCTGGCTTCGAACTTGTGATCTTCCTGCCTCAGCCTCCCCAGTAGCTGGGATTAAAGGCGCTCACCTCCGTGCCCGGCTGGTTAGAGTGTTTTTGATCCTTGGGTGGTTGGGCCCGTGGGTGTGACACTTACACATAGAGGGCTGACTGGGTGGCATCAGCCCCGCCCTACGGTGGCGATACTGAGCCCGGGGAGATGAACGAACTGTGACACACAGCTAGTATGGGGCGGGGGGGATCAGAGCCCTGGCTGAGAGGCTCAGAAGCACCCAGTTTGTAACCGCGGGTGCGTCCGTCTCTTCGCTGAAGCCGTTGCCGTCCTGGCATGGTGTAGCGGAGGCCCCTGGCTGGTGAGGATCTGTCTGGTGAGTGTCAGAACCTCACTGTAGTCCAGGCAGAAGCTTGCTGGCAACAGACCTTCCCTGTAAGGCTCTCTGCAAGTCCCTAGGGCCAGTATCACTCATCCTCCAGGTAAATAGAGCTCTCTTTATGTTTTGGTTTTTTGAGACAGGGTCTCACTATGTAGTTGAGACTGACCTGGAACTCACAGTGTAGCTCAGGTTGGTCTGGAACTCACCGTGATCCTCCTGCCTCAGCCTCCCGAGTGACTAGAGCTCTTGAAGTGCAAGTGGACTGGGGCATGAACGAACCCTGCGGGCTGTATAGTACCTTCCAGGGAGGCGTCCAAAGCTGGTGGCAGAGAATCAGACAGGGAGGCATTCTGTGCCCCTTCTGTGCCCCAGTGGCTGGAGCAGAACCCAGCAACAGAGCATTTGCCTCGCACACGTGGGACCCTGGGGTTCCCTCCCCAGCACCAACCAACAGATAACAAAAATCCACCTGCCCCGTGCTAGGGCCAGGTGTTGCCCCTTGGGTTCCCAGTGGGATGTCCTTCTTTGCTTCTGCGCAGGTCACCCTCAGCTATGGTGTCTTCGAGGGAAAACTCAACGTCATTAGGCTGCCAGGCCCCTTCTCTCCTGAAGAGGACCCCTCCAGGTGGGTCTGGGGGCTGAAAGTGAGGCATGGGATGAGTGGGGGGCTGAGCTCTGGCACCAGCGAGGGGGTTCTGGGAGGAAGAGGAGCTGGGTGGTGGACTGCATGGAGCCGGGAGTAGGTTTAAGTGACTGACTTGCTGTGTGACCTTAGGCAAGTGTTCTGCCCTCTCTGATTTCCAGTCTCCCCGTTTGCACCTCTCAAAGGTTGGGCCTAGTGGATGTGTAGGGCTCTTCTGGCTCTGATCCCGATTTCCTCGGGCACCCTGGAAGACTGACGGGTCTTCACTGAATGAAGAGGTGCTCAGAGTGACAGCAGAACCAGGCCCATGGGGGGATCATTTAGTGACTTTGGGCTCCCTGCTTCTGTGTCATCCCTCTTGCAGTTCTGCCCAGCTCAGGCGCAGGGAAGCGGGGGCTGCCACCTTAGCCCACACAGCCTGTGAGTGCAGCTCCTATCTGCCCCTGCCTGCGGCTGTGGCTGTGCTGGGTCTGGGCAGAGGGGGAAGGGGTGGGGCTTGGCCGGCCGTCCTGCAGGCTGGCTGTGCCTTGGGAGCCACTCCGTGCTGGGCCTTCGCACGGTCCCTTGCCTCCCTCCTGTCGTTACGCTCCGTGCCAGCAGCACACGGAGGACCCAGGAGCTGGGTGGCAAGAAGGGGCTCAGGGAGACAGCGTGGGGAGGGGGTGGGGTGAGCCCTGGGCTCCGAGTGCCGAGACCTTTTAGAGGGAGCCGGGAGCACTGGGCACCGGCTGTGTGGGGCGGAGAGGAAGCACGGGGCGGCGCTGAGCCCCGATGCCAACTGGGGAGTGGGGCTGGCAGGCACCTGGCAGCGGGGTGACCTGGAGAAGCTGTAGGGCTCCTGCGGGACTGGACAGTGTGCGCCACGCGCGGGGGCACGGAGACAGGTGCTGGAGCAGGAAGGCAGTGTCACCTGAGTGTGGAGACAGGGCAGCGACATTCCCTGGGGCCTTCCCCAGGCCGCTGAGGGCTCTTTCTGGACTTTAGGTTTATGGGAATCTCTGACCCTGGGGGCACCAGGGCTCTGAGGTTCTGAGGGCCACGGACCCCAGGAGGCTGGCTGTAGAGTTGGGCTGCGTGTGGAGAACAATGTGGAATTCTAGAGGAAAAGTGCTGCCTTCCAATGGGGGAAACGGCCAGAGGAGATGTGAAAGCTAGAGCTACACTATCAGGAGGTTTAACAATTGGTGCCGGGTATGGTGGCGCATGCCTGTAATCCCAGCACTCGCAAGGCTGAGGCAGGAGGATCACTGAGTTTGAGACCAGCCTGGGCTACATAGTGAGTTCCAGGTCAATCTCAACTACATAGTGAGACCCTGTCTCAAAAAACAAATAAACAAACAAACAAACAAAAAGAATTGGTGCCGAGCTGGGTGTGGCACACACCTGTAATCCCAGCACTCAGGAGGCTGAGGCAGGAGGATCACTGTAAATTCAAAGCCAGGCTGGGCTACTAGCCAGACCTTGTCTCAAAAAACAAAACAAAGAATTGGTGTTAAATTTCCTTTAAGCCTGAAGACCCGCAGAACCACAGGTTTCTGCCTCCTGTGGCTGGGGCCATTGGAGACTCAGCATGCAGAGCCAGATGACCTGGGCTTTTAAAGTTTTGAAGGCATCCTAGGCCTCTGGCTTTTGAAGTTTCTCAAAACTGGTGATTCTCAAAAAGGGGTGATTTTGCCCCTTGGGGACATCTGGTGATTCTGGGGACATTTTGAATTTTGCCATTTGGGGTCACACCCTGGCATTTCATGGGTGGCGGCCGAGGATGCAGCTCAGCTTCCTCCAAGGCATGGAATATGTGTCCGTCCCCCACCACCAAGATGACCTGCCCCAGTGTCACTAGTTCCCATTCGATGGGTAACATGTCTGGGACACCTCTTTGGAGCCTGTGGGGTGAGGGCAGGGACGCGTGACCGTCTTGCCTGTGTCTGGTCTCTCTGCAGGTTTCGCTCCCTGCATTGCCTGCTCTACCCAGACACGCCCTGGTGCCCACAGCTGGCAGCCCGATGAACCGCTGGCACGGGTGGGCAGGGCTTCTGGCTGTGCCATTGCCTTCCGGGGTGGAGTTGCGGGCCTCAGCAAATGCTAGGCTGCTGGGAAGCCCAGGATCTGGTTGGCAGCCAGCATCAGGGCATTGCAGGCCCTCGAGACAGGTGAGGGCCAAAGAGGCTGCAGTGCTGTCTCCTGTCACCACAGCACCCAGCTGGATGAGGGTGGGGACACTGGAGCTGGGCTGCTGTCTCAGTCCCTCCCTTGGGCCTCAAACAGTGGTCACTGCTCTGGCTTCCTGGCTGGATCCTCTGTCCCTTAGAGTCCCAGAGGGAGTCATGGCACCCTCCAGGTTTGTAGCTGATGGTGTCGCATTTCCAGAGCCTCCTTGCTGCCCACCTCTTGCTGATGAGCTCAGGCTTTGTTGGGGCCTCAGGATGCTCTGATCCAGATGATGGATCAGAATGGGTCCTCTCCAGTTGTGGAGTTGTTTACCCTGCTGGGGGGAGTGACCATGTGACCCAGCTCTGGCTAAAGGAAACCCAGAAAAGCCATTCGCACTGTTTCTGGCTGAGGTTTTGCAGCTCCATACCCTGTCTTCCTGTTATGAATGTGGGTGTGATGGCTGGATCTGTGGAAGCCACTTTGCCCTCATGAAGGAAAGGCCAAGACAATCATCTACAAGTATCCCCTGTGGCATCTAGTTCTGTATGAAATTAAACCTTTATTTAAGCCTCTCTGAGTCTAGTTGTCTGTTATATGCAGCCAAAGGGTCCTTGACTGGGTCTTTGATCTGTCTGTCACAGTCGTGACGGTAGTCATTTCCAATGGTGCGATAAGATGCTCAGCACACAGCCTGGTACAGGGAGAGGAGGGCTCAGCAGTGATGACGGCAAGTGACACGTGTGTTGTAGTGTGTGAGGGCGTGTGTGGACACGGGTGTGATGCGCATCCTCTGCACACCTCTGTGTAAGGATGCATGTGTGGTGTGTGTACTGGGGCCACATCACATCCTGTGCGTGCCCTGAGGTATTGCTGTGTTGTAAGCTGTTCCTCCTGTCCTGTGTTCCTGGGGTGTGGGTTGAGGAGGCCAGAGAATCAGGGAGGGAGCCTGGACACTTGGAGCCAAGGGATTCAGACTCGCGTGCCAGATGAAGGGGACAAGGGGGTGATTTGACAGCCGAGGCGGATTCTGAGCAAATGAAATCACCTCTAGAATCTGGGTCTCAAAGAGGTTGGATGAATGAAGGCGGTTATGCTGACTGACGATCAGGCGTAGTGGCACCCATGTGGGGAGGGCTGGGTGTGGGAGGCCTCTCCCTGTTCCATCGTGCCCAGTGAAGCCGGCAGCTGGGTCACCATGGGGATCTGGGGTGGGGAAGAAGGGAGGAGAGACCCTGGGCCCTGGGCCTCCTTTGGCGCATACCCTGGCCCTTGTGGGACCACGGTCCTCTTTCTGGTGCATCTGTGTCAGATGCCCAGTCCCACCAAAAGCCCATAGCTCAGCCCCTTATTTTCCAAGGAGGAGGCTGAGCCCAGAGAGGGTTGGCCTCGCAATAGGGTTGCCTAGCAAGTCAGTGCTGTCTGGCCACTTGGGCTTGTCCAGGGCCTGCTGTCTCCCTGGCCAGACTGATGCTGAGCAGAGCAGAACCGAGGCAGCCTCTGGCCCTGCCACCTGGTGGGGGATGGGGTGGCACCCTGGAAGCCATTGGCCTCCCCTCCCTGCTTTTTAGAAGCAGCAGCAGCAGCAGCAGCAGCAGCAGCAGCAGCAGCAGGATTCAGGTTTTTCTCAGATCCTGGGGGTCAGGTGGAGGGAACAGGGCTTGAGCCACCCACTGTCCCCATTGTCCCAGAATAGCTGGGAATGCGGTAGGATGGGGTGTGGGGAGTAGTGTCAGCAAGGATCAGAATTAGGATGGGGGGTGGAGGGAGTCTGGTTTAAGCCTCAGTGTATCTGAGGGGACACCTGAAGACACCTGTATCCAGGCTGAGGGACCCACGTAGGCCCCAGGGGCAGGGCTGGAAGTAGGGGCCAGGCTGGTCTTGCTGGGCCCCTCAGCCTCACGCTTGTTTAGCCTGAGACTGTTGGGCCCTGTCTGCCCCTCCCAGATGTGCATGGTTGGATAAGCAGGGGGTTGTGGGCAAGCGGTTGAAGGTGGCCTTATGGTAAGGGAGGCAGACTGGTATAGCAGCCTGGGGATGCATCACAGGGGCCTGGGACACGACAGCCAGTTTCCACCTCCAGCAAAGAGTAGGCAGGGGGCCCCAGGCGAGTGCCCTTCTCCCAGCAGCACCACCCTTCATGGATGACTTGGTGGATTGAGCCTTGTTTTCTCCATCACTGGGACAAACTACCCAATGCCTGCAACTTGTAGGAAGGGTAAGTTTATTTTGCCTCACGTTTCAGCCTATAGTTGGCTGGGTCCAGGGCAGAATGCGTGGCAGAGGGGCCTGGCGGAGGAGAGCTGCTCATAGCACAGCTGACAGGAGGCAGAGAAAGCAAGGGGAGCTGGGGAGGGGCATCAACCCTTCCAGGCCACGCCCCCGGTGACCCCCCCACCAGACTCCGCCTCCTAACAGCAAGTCAGCTACCGGTCCCCATAACCCAACCACCTTCCAAAAGCTCCGGCTCTGATAGCATGAGGCTTTAGGGGGACATCTAGATACAAACTGTATCAGTCCTATGGTGTCTGCTAACATACACTGTTCCCTTCTTCTGGTACATCAGTATTGACGTCCAGAGGGTGGGCCTGACGGGACCAGTTACTGCAGCAGGCAGATCTTCTGGTGGTACTGAGTCTGGGAGCCTGGCCTCCGGCAGTCAACAACAAGACAGACAGCACAGCGGGAGGCTGGGGACCTGGGTCTCCGCTGTGCTCTGCCGTGAACGTGTGTGTCACTAGTCATAGCAACAGTATAGAGATCACCTAGGGCAAGCTGTGTGTCCGGCACTGGCCTAAGCACTTGCCGTACATTGGGTCACTTTCTCTTCATTTATTTGAAGTAAATACTATAACTTTTCCCATTTTACAGATCAGGAAACTGAGGCACAGCAGGAGAGAAAGCCCTTGTCCAGGTCCCAGGTCTTCTCGGGACTTGAGCGTGGGTCTGAGGCTGCTTAGCTTGGTGGTGGCCACTTCAGTGACTTTGAAGGTTGGAGAGCCTCACCACGCCTGGGCTCCTCCTTTCTGTGCATCCGGGCCTCATCTGTGAAATAGGTACAGGCTGTGGGGCATTGCCCGACTCCTCTAAGTGCGTGTTCTCAGCCGTAAGAGGGGAGGTGGCAGGGGAGCGTTGGCTCCACTTGCACCTGGCCCCTTGTCCTGGCGGCCCCTCACTGCTCCTGCGGGCCTTTTCCTAGCTCTCTGGCCCCAGGCACGACAGCCTCCTCACTTGCGCTGGCAGGCGCCAGCTTCCCTGGATGCGTAGGCCATCCCTGCCTGGCCAGCTGGCTCTGACCAAACTGCACTGTCTACCCTCACAGGGAGCCCTCCCGGTCACCCAGCACATGGCCGGCTGCTGCCACACCCCCACAGATGTGAGAGAAAGCCAGTCGTTGGTGCGCTGACCTACCTGTTGGTGCGTCTCCTCCCAACCATTGGCTGTGTGGTTGGAGTTTTAGGGGTCTGTGAAAGGGGTCAGGTGATGGGATGCGGGCTTTCTGGTGGAAGCGCCAGTCTGGCAACCCCAGAGCCCGTGCTCATTGCTGCTGGTGTTCTCCCAAGGAAAACCTGAGCCTGGGTGCTCCTGGTGTGATCCAGTGGGACGCTGGCACGTCCCAGGAATTGCTGGCTCCAATGCAGCAAGCCCCCGACTTTTGAGTTTCGAACTTCCACAGGTGTACGGTATAGAATTCACAGGTGTACTGTACAAGGCTTACTTTGTTGGGTGGACGGATCTGACTTACAAACCTCCTCCTGCAGTGGAACTTGTTCCTAAGTCAGGGATTCCTGGAATCGTCCCTCAGTTAACTGGATCTAAATATTGTATCATTGTCCAAGAATTTGGGGTGCAGTGGGAGGGCTCAACCCACCAAATCAGCCACAAGGACCGCTCTTCAGGACTAAGGGCCTGGTTCTTTCAATAAGTAAAATGACATACGAAAGGGAGGAAGAGAAAAAGATGAAAAGAAATGTAAGAGATACTGCACCAAGGTGCACTGTCTGGAACCGATTTTGATCTTGATTCAAATCAGTGGACCCTAAAAGCACATTTTTGAGGAAGATGAGGACATTTAAACAGGCACTGTGTTGGATGCTGTTGAGGAATTGTTCACATTCCTAGGAGTAGCAATAATATTGAAGTTATTTTGAGAAATGTTCTAATATGTGAGACGTGCATTCTGAAATATTTATAGGTGAAATAATACGATGCCTGGAATTTTTGTTAAAAAGGTGCCCGAGGGAGACGTGAAATACACATAGCAAAGCGGGGTGGCTGCGAAGTGGGTAATGGGGACCAGGGCCTCCATCGTGCCATCCCCTCCATTTTTGTGGGTTTGAACATTTCCCAGTAAAATAACATTAAATGAGCAGGTCTGTGGCTGTTTCGTTTTGCTGGCGTGGTCTTTCCCTTCCCTCCCCCTTTGCCCGCGCCCTCCTCCCTGCCCCACATTCAGGCCCAGAGAACATCGGTTTGCTTTCAGCCAGCACAGCTGTCCTGGCTCCATTTCCTGTCCTGCCCACACATCCAGAGAAAGGAGAGGCGGCCCTTGACTGGATCCTGGCCCTGCCTGATTCGCGTCTGGCCCTTTGCCCGGTTTCCCCCAGCCCACCCTCCTTTCTTTTGGATACAAGCACGTGTCCCAGCTGCTTTGTAACCCAGTAGCACTTTTCCTGGGCAAGTTCCTCCGCTTCCTTCCCAGTCCCCTGAGTTACCGTCTAACGAGGCTTTATTGGGCAGGGTGGGGGCAGAATCTGTTAGATGATACCTAGGAGAACCAGATGAAACAGCAAGCTCAAAACCCCAGCCAGGACAGTACAGAAAATATGGCATCTCACACGAGCGATGAGAAATTGCAATCATGGGGTGCTGGGAGGAAGGTGGGGGGCAGGAATCAGGGGCACCTGATATGGGAGGTGGTATCAGATCTGGGTCTTGAGGTGTGAGGAGGTCAGAAGGGGCAGAGTGCACCACAACCTGCCTTGAAGTTAGGGTGCAGAGACCCCAAGGAAGGAGGCAAGGCTTGGGTATGGTTATGGTTACTACCATTGTCTCATGCTTACTGGTGTCGCCTTCCCGGAGAAGGGCAGGGTATGTGCCTGGTGCTGTGCCCACACAGAGCTCCCCCTTTCCCCTGCTCTGCTACTGAATGACTATGTAACTCTCCTCCAGAGCAGAGACCAGCCCAGTGCAGCCCAGTGACTCATGCCATCTAGCAGTGCTGGGTGCATAGCGGGTGCCCCATGAAGACCAAATGGTTGCTGAAGTGAGTGTTGAAAGGGTGAGCCCCACTACCAAGCTGGATGTAAAAATCACCGGTGCTTTGTAAAAACAGATTCCAGGGCTCCACAGTTGACTCTCAGAACCCAGATGGAAGCACCAGTCTGGCAACCCCAGAGCCCGTGCTCATTGCTGCTGGTGTTCTCCCAAGGAAAACCTGAGCCTGGGTGCTCCTGGTGTGATCCAGTGGGACGCTGGCACGTCCCAGGAATTGCTGGCTCCAATGCAGCAAGCCCCCGACTTTTCAGTTTCGAACTTTCACAGGCGTACAGTATAGAATTCGTGGCTTTTACCTGGCTCCTCGGGAGGCTTTGAGTTGCTGCTGGGTTAGAGGACAAAGTGAGTAGCAAGTTCAGCACCACGGACAGAACCCAGCCGGGTTTCTCTCTCCAAGCTGTCCTGGGACCAGCGGGATCCAGGGCAGAGTCACTGTGTACGAGGATGGTATTCAGATGTCCAGCCCTGATCTGGGTCAGGTGACACCTGTGGGCTTGGCCCCCATGTGACGCCGACTTCGACTTTGTTTCAGGAGTGACTTTCAGGGAGGCCACTGCTCCTGCTGCAGCGACAGCTCTGTCTCCCCACCGAGGGACCAAATTATAAATATACCCTTGATTTCTTTTATAACCCGTAAATGACTCCCATGCCGTGAAGCAGCAGAGCACAGAGCCTGAGCTGTTGTGAGCAAGCTGATCTCCAAACACGGTTTGAGCACCTACTGTGTTCCAGAGCTGTGCCGGTAGCCAAGGGCCATCGTGGAGGATGTGTGAGCTACAGTCACCTTGCCAAGGAACCCACAGCTTGTGAAACATGGCTCGTTGATTGCTAGAGAGGAGAGCGGCCTGGCAGACAACTGGGTCCTGAGTCAGAGAGTGAGAAAGCGACCGAGGTGGCCGGGAGAGGAGCAGGGGCAGAGGCTTTCTGAGCCCGAGAGGCAGTGTGATGAGCTGTGTGGCCGTGTACCTGCTGCCTTGCTGTCAGAGCCTCGGGTCCTAGTGTGGGCGATGATGCTTCTTCCCCGGCTCTCTCACAGGATGCATGTAAGGAAAGGCCCTCTCTGCCTGGTGCCCTGGACCCAGCCTGACACATGAAATCACTCATCGGCTCCAGTTTTACTGATGGCTCTCTGTGCACCAGGCATGGTGCCAGGGGGACAAGAGCTGGCACCTAGGATCTTATTCTTGGGGGCAAGGCAGACAGGGCTCCTCCTGTCTCCCTCCTGAACTCCCCACTGGACACATTTCGGCCTTCCTGGCAGTGCGGGTGGCCCCTCGACTGTGCTCTGTTGCCGGATATGCCCTGCTGGCGCATTAGTCCCCTGCCTGAGATGAGCTGTCCCCACCCTCATCCTGGCCGGTGGCAGAGCCCTCACGTTGGAGGGGTGGGGCCTGGACACCTGCAGATGGGAGGGGCCCACATGTCAGGGTCTTCACGTCCAGGCCCTGGGTTTGGGACGGTTTGTTCCCGCACATAGCGATTCTGACCGGAGAGACAGAGGACAGACAGATGAGCAAGCAGGACTCTCAGAGAAGGACAGAGACAGGAAGGAAGGAACAGGGAGACCGGGGAGAATCTTGGTGGAAGGTCCATGACAGACTTTTTTAGATTCTTCTAAGCTTAACTAAAATATCTATAGCCCCTCAGGGATCCTGGTCTGGAGCTCTTTTGCTCTGGCCATAGGATTTCCTACTCAAGTTTCGAAATGTCATTTCACATGACACCTGGATCACCCACTTAACTCTTCCACACCCTAGACTTCATTTCAAAGACATAGGACCCCTGAGAAGGTCTTTTTTTTTTTTTTGGGTTTTTTGAGATAGGGTCTCATTATGTAGTTGAGACTGACCTCACAGTGATCCTCCTGCCTCAGCCTCTGGGATTACAGGTGTGTGCCACCATGCCAGGCTCCTGAGTAGGTCTTTGATGTGCTGATTTGGAAAGCTGTCCCTTCAAGCTCTGTGCCCGGTGACCCTTCTCTATCCTCCCCACATCCTTGCCTTTTCGGTAGCGAGCTCTCCAGATGGAACCACTGCCTTGTGTCACTAATCCCTGGACCCCAGCTTCATCCATCATTCATACCTTTGGGGACTTCAGACAGGAGAATGAAAATCATCCAACTCACCAGTTGGTTGGCAAGAGGTGTTCATGTAGCCAGAATCTATAAAACTCAAATTGAAATAAATTCTAATGTGTGTATGTTATTTATCTATGTTTTAAAGTATGTATACCATAAATTTATCATTTTCATACTGTTTAAGTGTAGAACTCCCAGCGTAATGTCATGTGACAGCCACTAAAACTTTTTCATAATGTTTAAATGTAATATTTTAAAGTTTTATCCAAAGCCAGGCATGGTGGTGCACACCTGCAATCCCAGCACGTGGGAGGCCGAGACAGGAGGATCGCTGCGAGTCTGAGGCCAGCCTGGACTACCTAGTGTGACCCTGTTTCAAAAACAAAAAAACAAAACAACCCAAAGCCCCCAGAGGGTAAAAGATTCATCCACATTGTAGCATATATCAGCACTTGATTCTTTTCTATTTTTGCTACTGGGAATTGAATCCAAAGCTTTCACACTGAGCTACATATCCAGTCCTTTTTAAATTTTTTATTTTGAGACAAGGTCTTGCTAAGTTGCCCAGGCTAGGCTTCTCCTGCCTCAGCCTCCCAGGGGTCTGGGATGAGGGTGCGCCCCACCAACCTCTTCATTCCTTTCGTGACAGCGTAATATTCCCCTGTACGTGTATGTACAACTTGTTCATCATCCGGTCGGGACGGACACTTGTGCTGCTTCTACGTTTTGGCCACTGTCAGTAATGCTACCGTGAACATGGGTGTGCAAATAGCTGTTTGAGTCTTTGCTTTCAGTTCCTTAGGGTGTGGGCCCAACAGTGGAATCACTGAGTCATATAATAGATCCGCTTAAGTTTTTAAAGGAACCACCATATTGTTTTTTGCAGCCACGCTGTTTTAGGCTCATCAAAATATTCTAGTGCTCCAATTTCTCCACATCCTGCCACACCTGTTACTCTCTGGTGTGAGTGTGTCTACGTGTGCTACATAAGAGCCCTTGTTCTGGGTGTGAAGTGGCATCTCACTGTGGTTTCAATCAGCATTTCCCTTGGGACCAGGGACACCCCAGTCTCTCTTCATGCGCTACCGGCCACTTATAGACCTTTGGAGAAATGTCTCGTTCATTCCTCTGCCCGGCTTTTAATTGGGTCGTTTTGTTGTTGTTGGGTCTTCACCCTTTCCTGCCACCATGAGTATACCGATGGACAGTCACGCAGTTTTCTATTGGCCAGTCCTCTGTTGATCATTGTTCAAGTTGTTCCCTGGCATGTGCTGTCCAAAGTGCTGTGGTGAATTTTCCTCTGCACACATTCCCCCGCCACCCCAGTACCGGGATTGAACTCAGGACCTTGTGCTTGCAAGGCCGGCACAGTGCCACTCAGTTACATCCCGGCCTAGCCATACACACTCTTGTGTACACATGTGAGCATACCAAGGACACATTCCTTGCAGTGGAACTGCTGAATTAAAGGGAAGGTGCATTTCTCATTCAGGCAGCTACTGTCCGTCCACCTTTGAGAGTAGATAGGCTGACTGTTATTCCCACCAGTCATGTAAAAGACCAGGACACAGTTTTCCAACTCATATGTTCTCAGCATTGTGCCAAAGATTTTGTCTTCCTTGGGGATACTAATCTGACATTTCCTAATACCAATTAAAACACTGGCCTAACATTGCTCTGTTAAGGGATTTGCAACTTAATTGCACTTGTTCATAAAATAGAATTAATATTGAGTAGCTCGCCATCGACAGAACTAATTCTGACCCTGTGCGATGACAAATCTATTTATGCTTTATGTTTTAAAATCCTCTCAAAGCTAAAAGAGTTGCCATTTGAATACTATTAAATTGATATAAAAAATCAGACTCAATTGCAACGTATCTGCCAATCTTCCCAGAGAACACAAAATTTATTTTTCTCAATTCTTTCCCAGAGGTATAGCCATGAAAATTCATGACTGGAAATTCTTTTTCTCTTACCAAGAGCATCTAACAAGATAATGGAACAGCTCACACATCAAGTGCTGTCTTAGCTCAGCCGGCTCCCTCCACACTGTGGGTGGGTTTAGAGAAAGCCGAACCACACACTCCTCCAACTTTAATCAAGAAAGGAACAGAAGATCATTATGAGCAAATCAGGGCCCAATTAAAGAGATAAACAGATTCTAACCACATTAACTACATTATATTAATATATGTTCACAATTAACTTCGCCAGTCACAGTTTTCCAGAAAAAGGGGAATTCTTTTTAGGGGAGAAAAGTCTCATAAATGAACTCACTTATAAATAAACTCAGGACAGAAAACGCTATAGGCTTTGCACGGCGGCCAATACAATATTTATGTTAACTGATAACAGAGACATACTCCAGATAAAACACAGAGTGTGGGGCAATCCGGTGAGACACACTTGATCAAGGTACATGAGAACCACAGTAAGTACACAATAGCTTCACACTGCACTAATGTAGAAGGTGGTTTACACAAATACCAGATCCCTTGTCTTTTCTTGCAGTAAGCCTCAGAGTCTGCCTATGGGATCCTAGCTTGCACCCAGCGCAGGAATCCCAGGTTACCCGGGTACCTCTGGGTACCTCTCGGCACCTCTGATGACAGCAATTTCACTGTCAGAAGCGGCGATGCTGGGCTGTGCCTTACAGGGCACCAAGCTGGATGCCTGTGACCTTCCCCGGCGCTGTGGAAGTCAGGACACCCCGGCTTCCTCGTCAGCCTCCCGAGATTCAGTAACAGACTTCCCCAGGTGACACTGCCAGAGTCACCTATGAGCCCCACTGCTCCATATGCTGGGTGTGGTGTTGCATGCCTGCGACCCCAGCTCCTCAGGAGTCTGAGGCAGGAGAGCATGTTTGAGCCCAGCCTGGTCAATTTAGGGAGAATCTGTCTTAAAAAATAAAAAGGGCTGGGTATGTAGCTCAGTGTAAAGGCCCTGGGTTCAATTCCCATGAACACACACACACACACGCAGACACAGACACACACACACAGACACAGACAATCCTCCCTCTCTTGCTCCCTAGCATTTATGTGATGCACCAAGAATTCATGTTATTTATCTAATGTTTTGCTTTGTGATGACTTTTTTTTTTTTTTTTTTGCATTACCAGGGATCGA